ACAGCAAATGAGGGTATTTTGGCTCCCAGGGGAAGCCCAGGAAATGAAGGGAATTTAGGCTGGTTGTACAGTCTACACCAATGTGATTTGAGAAGTTGAGTGGTTTCGGTCGGATTGACAAGCTGTGCAACAGTTGGTTGTGCAACCTAGCAAACTGCAGGATGTGTTCTGTAAAGCCGCATGATGTCATCCTGTATTTGAGGCTGTACGCATTGCATGACAGGTTGCCAAGGTAACCTGTATGCTGTGCTGCATACTTCCATTGTACTTGATTGAGACGTACAGATGCCAGATCACATGGCCCGGAGGGGTGAAATGTGTACCTGATATCCTTGTAACATGTAAGGGTGCTTGACCCCCTTACCTGTGGGTAAAAGAGGGGTGTAACATGCAACACAGAGGGGTTACATGTGTCCAAGCCTGCTCCTCTAGGGTAGTTTTGGCCCTGGAATCCCTTCCTGGAGCCATATTTGGTGTAATATTATTGTATATACAAGAAAATATAAAAATTTTGAAGTTGTTGGATGGGAACCCATAAAGTATCCCACATCGTGCTGGTAGGACAGGACTGGGAAAATGCTATCGACTCTATACTGAAGCCGCATATCAAAACAAAATGCTACCGACCTCGATCCCCGATATTCAGTGTCAAAACTTGGCTCACACTATCTTGATCTTGAAAGCTATGGGAATTAATGATCTGTTAAACTTTGATTTTATGGACCCTCCTCCGCAACAAACTATGATCACCGCATTGGAAAATCTTTATGCTCTCTCTGCTTTGGACGATGAAGGTTTGTTGACGCGTTTGGGTTGGAAGATGGCTGATTGTAAGCTCGCATTTAATTTCCTAGATTAATTTTTTTTTTCAAGCAGCTCTTCTCCAAAATTCAATGACTACCACACAAAAAAAACACAGTTCCGATGGACCCCAAATTGTCGAAGATGTTGATTGCATCAGTTGACTTGGGTTGCTCCGAGGAAGTCTTGACAATCGTGGCTATGATCAGTGGTGCAAAAAATGTGTTTTATCGACCAAAAGATAAACAAGCACAAGCAGACGCCAAGAAGGCCAAATTCCATCAACCAGAAGGTGATTATCTCACACTTCTGGCGGTTTATGAAGGCTGGAAGAACAGCAAATTCAGTAATCCTTGGTGTCACAAAAATTGTAAGTTGACCACTACAGATTATATGTTGCGTTACAAATGTCTTCCTCACAAAGCCATTGGATTACTGATGATTTTCGTGTCTAACGGTAGACATTCAATCGCGTGCAATGAGAAGAGCCCAAGATGTCCGGAAACAATTGTTAGGGATTATGGATTGATATAAGCATGATATTGTGTCATGTGGGACAAATTACGACCGGGTCCGTTGAGCAATTTGTTTGGGTTATTTCAGACATGCGGCTAAGAAGGATCCGCAGGATGGATACAAGACTTTAGTCAAAGGCACTCCGGTCTTCATCCATCCATCTTCAGCGCTCTTCAATCGTGCCCCAGAATGGTCAGTTGATCTTCCCCGATCTTTGAAAATGATCATTCTCATTCACTTTATCATCTGGATCCTGACTTGTGAAAAAAAAAAATCGATTGTTGTTGGTGTGGGCAGGATCATCTATCATGAATTGGTCTTGACTACCAAGGAATATTGTCGCGATGTGACGGCTATTGAACCCAAATGGCTCACCGAAGTGGCACCTACTTTCTTCAAAGTTGCGGATGCCAAAACAATGTCTAAACGCAAACAAAACGAGAGAGTTCAACCTCTGTTTGACAGATTTGCCAAGGTCATTCTCTCCTTCCCTTTTCCTTTCCTTTCCGGACCTCTTCACTCTCACTCACACCACATGGTTTGCTGAAATCATTGTTGTCGATTTTTTCTTGCAGAGCGAAAACGATTGGCGGATCTCCAAAGTCAAACGGAGCACTTCTTAACAACAGGGAAGCGTTCGAAGCTTCTCCTAGGAGCACCCCGACAAATGGACCGCCCATCTAAGGGTTAAAAAATCCAGCAAGGCAAGTTGCAATCAATTACGTTACTACAAGTGCAATAACCCATTGGGTTGGAAATACACAACAACGGAGGATCATGTTTTAACCAAAATTCAACACAGGCCAGAGACTATCTGAGGATTGGAAACTATAATAGTTGAGTTATGCGGTGAGTTCATGTATGCGTTGTACAACTGCAATTCAAGTGTAATTGAAAGGTTGGGGTTTATGTAGGCTAAAACAGAGCTGGACGCTTCTCAAAGGAATCGAGCTCGCTTCATCCTTTTTGCAGCTTCCTTCAGTATGTTCATGCGGGGTCGGCCTTTTTTGCTGGTGACGGGGGCCGCGCTTGGCGAAGACGACTGGGCCTGGAGAGGGGTTTCGTCCTCAGACGTAGTTCCATCGAGGTCAACTTCAGCTGTAGCTCTACCTTTACCCTTGTTTAGGTTGGAGCTCGACGATCCGACATGGTTCTCCTTCGTCAACGCGGCGGGGTGGACCTGGT